TCACCATCATTACCATCATCATCACCGCCATCATCACTATCATCATCATCATCATCATCATCATCATCATCATCATCGTCGCCGTCATCATCATCATCATCATCATCATCATCATCATCATCACCATCACCATGACCATAACCAGCAGCATCAGCATCAGCAGCATCAGCAGCATCAGCATCATCAGCAGTGTCAGCATCATCATCATCATCAAACGCATCATCTCATCCTGACCGTCCTCAGCGTTATCACATTATCATCTTCATCGTCATCACCAGCATATCATCATCCTCATCACCATCACCAGCAGAATCACCATCATCATCAGCATGATCATCGTCATCTTCCTCATTAGCATCATCATTGCCAGCATCATCATCACCAGCATAAATAACATCATCTTCGTCATTACCATCCTCATCCTCATCCTCATCACCATCAAGATCATCATCACCATCATCAAGATCATCATCACCATCATCATGAGCATCATCATCCTCATCATCATCAGAGTTAGCATCACCATTATTACCATCAGTATCATCACCATCAGCATCGTCATCAGCATCATCCTCATCGTCATCCTCCTTATCATCACATTTATCTTTATTATCGGATCACCACCACCATCATCATCGTCATCATCATAACATCATCCTTATTATCATCGCCATCGCCATCGCCATCACCATCACCAGCATCACCAGCAGCATCAGCATCAGCATCACAAGCATCATCAGCACTGTCAGCATCAGCAAACGCATCATCTCTTCCTCACCGTCCTCAGTAACATCACAATCATCATCACAATCACCATCGTCGCGATCATCATCATCATCAGCATCAATACGATGAACAGCAGCATCATCACCATCATTATCATAAATAGCACCATCATCATCATCATCATCATCATCATCATCATCATCATGATCATCATCATCATCATCCTCATCACCATCACCATCACCATCATCATTATCATCATCCACATCAGCATCATCGTTATCATCATCATCATCCTCATCCTCATCCCCGTCATCACCATCATCATCATCAACATCATCATCAGCATCCTTATCATCACCAACACCATTATCATCATCACTATCATCATCGCCATCATCATCGTCATCATCATCCTCATCACCACCATCATCATCATCATCATCATCCTCATCACCGTCATTATCATCACCATCATCATCATCATCAACATCATCATCATCCGTATCATCAGCATCACCGTTATCATCATCACCATCATCATCGTCATCATCATCATGAATAGCATCATCATCATCCTCATCCTCATCCTCATCATCCTCATCATCCTCATCATCCTCATCATCATCATCGTCATCATAATCGCCTTCATCATCTCTGCCAGGTAGGGGTAGGGGCGCGAATGTCGCCGCCGCCCCCCCTGGGCAGGGGCGCCGCCCCCTGGGCGCACGCTCGCGCGACGGCGCTGCCCGTCGCGAGCCTCTCGGCAGCGCTGGCCACGCGCTGTGTCCTGGACGCGCGCGGGCACGCACGGGACGCAGAACACATGCTGCAAGGAGGCTGCCGAAGCAGACAGTGGAGGATCCCCATCATAGGCAGGCCTGGCCAGGGGAACAGAACGAGAGGGATCGAGGGAGGAGGAGGAGGAGGAGGAGGAGGAGGAATAACAGGAGGAGGACGAGGAGGAGGAGGAGAAAGAGGCAGAGGAGAGCAGGAGAGGGGGGAGCAGAGGGGGGGAAGAGGAGGAGGAGAGGGAGGAGGAGGAGGAGGGAGGAGGAGGAGGAGGAGGAGGAGGAGGAGGAGGAGGAGGAGGAGGAGGAGGAGGAGGAGGAGGAGAGGAGAGAGGGAGGGACGGAGGGAAGGGGGAAAGGGGGCCCCGGAGATCCGACGTCACGAAACATTGCAACATCGCGAGACATCACGACTGGAGTCCCAGACCCGACGATGCCGATGGCGCCGACGACGGCGCCGAAGACGCCGACGACGACGACGACGACGACGACGACGACGACGACGACGACGATCTCTCGAGGTGTCCGTTCTGACTGGAATCCCACCAGCCCTTTGGGCGTGAGTGGTTTAGAGAGCTTTCTCTGTTCTCAACCCCCCAACCCCCCTTCTTCCCCTTCGGGGAGGGGTTTACCCCTCCCCCTACCCCCTCCCCCTGGGTCTGGAGAGGGCGTCCCGCGGGTCGTTGGAGGGGTCTTTTCCGACTCCTGGGAGGGCCAAAAAACGACGACCCTCACGAGGATTCTGGCCCCGTCGGGGGGGTGTAGAAAAAATGCTCTCCTCTTCTCTGAAGCCAAAATCCTTGATTTTACTACGGTTTTGGCCCCATTTTGGCCGTCTGAGGGGCCAGCGCTGCTGCTCCTTGTTCTCAAAATTATTGATGTTACTAAGGTTTTGGGCTCATTTTGTCCTTCTGAGGGGGTGGCGCTCATTTGCGCTTCTCAGGAGGTCGCAAGAAGCCCCCAAGAGGCCCCAAGATGCCCCCAGGAGGCTCCCAAGAGGCCTCCAAGAGGCTCCCCAGCCGCCCCCACGAGGCCTCCAGAGGCTCCCAAGAGGCACCCCAGAGGCGTCCACGAGGCCCCCAGAGCCCCCACGAGGCCCCAAGATGCCCCCAGGAGGCTCCCAAGAGGCCTCCAAGAGGCTCCCCAGCCGCCCCCAAGAGGCCTCCAGAGGCTCCCAAGAGGCACCCCAGAGGCGTCCACGAGGCCCCCAGAGCCCCCAAGAGGCTCCCAAGAGGCCCCCAAGAGTCTCCTCAGAGGCGCCCAAGAGGCCCCAAGAGGCCCCCAAGAGGCTCCCAAGAGGGCCTTCGACGAGCCCGAACGACTCACGCCAGGACGAGGGGCCCGAACGACTCACACCACGAAGAGCCCGAACGACTCACACCACAACGAGGGGCCCGAACGACTCATACCAGGACGAGGCGCCCGACCGACTCACACCACGAGGAGCCCGAAGGACTCACACCACGACGCGGGCCTCGAACGACTCACACCACGTGGAGCCCGAACGAGTCACACCAGGAGGAGGGGCAGCGCTCATACAAGCCCCCCAAGAGGGCCCCCAGAGGTCCACCAGATGGCCCCAAGAGGTCCCCAGATGGCCCACAGTCTCAAAAGTATTGATTCTACGAAGGTTTTGGGCTCATTTTGTCCTTCTCAGGGGGTAGCGCTCATTTGCGCTTCTGAGGAGGTCGCAAGAAGCCACCCAAGAGGCCCCAAGATGCCCCCAGGAGGCTCCCAAGAGGCCTCCAAGAAGCCGCCCCCAAGAGGCCCCCAAGAGGCTCCCCAAGAGGCCCCCCAGAGGCTCCCACGAGGCCCCCAGAGCCCCCAAGAGGCTCCCAAGAGGCCCCCAAGAGTCTCCCAAGAGGCGCCCAAGAGGCCCCAAGAGGCCCCCAAGAGGCCCCACGAGGAGCCCGAACGACTCACACCAGGACGAGGGGCCCGAACGACTCACACCACGAAGAGCCCGAACGACTCACACCACAACGAGGGGCCCGAACGACTCATACCAGGACGAGGCGCCCGACCGACTCACACCACGAGGAGCCCGAAGGACTCACACCACGACGCGGGCCTCGAACGACTCACACCACGAGGAGCCCGAAGGACTCACACCACGACGCGCGCCCCGAACGACTCACACCACGAGGAGCCCGAACGACTCACACCAGGAGGAGGGGCCCGAACGACTCACACCAGGATGAGGGGCCCGAACAACTCACACCACGAGAAGCCCGAACGACTCACACCAGGACGAAGAGCCCGAACGACTCACACCACGAAGAGCCCGAACGACTCACACCAGGAAGAAGGGCCCGAACGACTCACACCAGGACGAGAAACCCCAAACGACTCAAATCACGAGGAGCGCTTTCTCTCCCTCCTCCTCCGCCTCGTCCTTCTCCCGCTCCCCCCACAAGGAGGATTCACAAGGAGGCGGGAGGAAGGAGGGACAGGGGAGATATACGGAGCCCAGCGGACACACGCCTGAAAAACACAACTGTCCACATGCTTCGCGAGAGCTGCTGCTGTGAGATGGGCTGGTGGGGATACGCGAAGCGTAAAGAATTCCGAAGCGAATCTGGCCGTGGCGACGAAGGCCTCCCAGGAGGCCCGGAAAGACGAAAACCAGGGAAGGGCAGCTGCGGAATCGGCACCTCTTTCTCCTGCGAGATCCGACGCCGTTCATGGTTTTCGGGCCATAACCCGAGCCTCTTGCGGCCGCTCGGGACGATCCGGGCACACCCCCGGAACGCTCTCGGCGAGGCGCGGCGGTGCTAACTACTGGAAAGCATCCCGCGGCGACAAACGTCCGAACACTTCCGACCATTTCGCCTGCCATCGCTCGGACGTCCATTCCCCGTGCATTCGTCGGCTTCGTGCGTGTAATTTCTGCTCGATGATCCAGGGTGCCTCTCGATCGTCCTCGCCGAGACAAGAGTGTACACCTCCGAGCGATGCCGAGGTCGGGCACTTCGGCGGCCTCCTCCGAAACCACGGCGGCGGCGACGGCCGCGATCGCGACGACCGGGCGGCGGCCGGCGCCGCGCCTGGAGCGCTCCGCGGCGGCCTCCTGTGCGAGGCGGGGACTTATCCAGATCCACCGCCTGGGAGCCGACGTCCTGGTGCCCCAGCGGGCGGTGGGCATGGATGTATTTTGGCCCCTGGTGCCGAATGTCCGAAGCTTTCCAACAAAGTCGTGGAAGAATCGGGCGCCCTCGATGCTGCAGCAAGGCTGGAGGCCCAGCGAGCGGGCCGATCTCGCCCCCTTTCCGCCGCTCTTGCCATTTGCAGCTTCTGGCAAAGCAGTCGGGCGGTTGAGAAGGTGATTCACCACCGTGCAGTTCATTGCTGAACTTGTGACCTCTCGGAGAACCTTGGGAAATGAGATGTTGGCCCCTGGGGGCCCGAAGGTGTCCATATCCACCGCCTGCCGAGATCCCCGAAAACTGATCCTCCGGGCGGTGGCCATGTACAAATTCCCACCTCGGGTCCTGCGACAGCCGCCTGCCGAGGGCGCGCAAGCTCAGGAGCGCCTCGCCCGCGACGTCGAGGCGCGCGGCGAGCGCGCCGGACTCCGCGCGGCGGTTGCCGCTCAGCCTCTCTCCGGATTCTTGTTTGTTGAGGCGGCTGACTACCTACCACACCACCCCAGCCCAGCCCGAAGACCCGAATTTCGCCCGAATTTCGGGTTGGAGTGCGGGCTTCATGTGCGTTTTTTCACCACGTTCCCCGACCCCCCCCCCCATTGGAGATGGAGGGCAAATCAAGGCCTTCGGGTTGGGTTGGGATGGTTTGGTGGGCGGTGAGCAGCGTGCGCCATCGAGCCGAAGCAGGTTGAGCACGGGGGAAGCGGGTCCTGAGAAAAAAACGGGTCCGGGGCCCTGAGGCCTCCTCCCAGGACCACTTGGTCATCCCCAGTGGCTTTCTGACAGCCCCGGGGCCCGTGGAGGGCCCCGAGGGCCCGAAATCGGCGAAAAGCTTCAGGACCCGCTTCCCTCGGGACCCGCTTCCCCCGTGGCGACAGGTGCAGGCGCCCGTCGGGCAACGGGCGGGACGCGCTGGAAGCGAATCGGGGCACGGCTCTCTCCCCAGACGCCCGGCGCCTCGAAGGACACCCTGAGACGACGGTCCTCCATCGCGTTCGGCCCCTCGGGGCCCTTGGCCCTTGCCGGGCCTCGGGGCCGTCACGAAAACGGCTCGGGATGAGGAGCCGGTCCCGGGGCAGAAGAGCTCGAGAGGCAAGGCGCCCGCGTCTGGACAGAGCCGAGGCGCGGGGCGCCCGGGTCTGGGGCGGAGGCGTCGCCCCCTTCGCCTCCCCCGCTGGGCGACGACGGCGCCTCGCCCCGTGGTCGTCGCCGTTGCCCCCCTGGCCCGACGAGGCGTCGAGCACGGCCCACCCCCCCGCGGGCTCCCCAGGAGGCCCACGGAGCGAGGCACGTCTGCACGGCACGGCCATCGTCCGCCGCAGCCGCGCGGGGCGCGCGAGGCGGCTGCTCGGCGCGCAGCCGCGCGGGGCGGACGCGCGTCGAGGGGCGGAGGGGGGGGGGGGGGGGATGGGGACGCACCGTCGTTGGTTAGTCCCCCCCCACCCGCCGACTATTATGCCATCCAGAGTAGGCTCCGTCCCGTCGCTCCTCCTCATAGCAGCTTCGCTGTAGCTCTTGCCAGTTCAGGCACAGGGTCTGGTCACTGAGCGAGTCTCCATGCGATGCCAGCGCAGCGCGCGCACACTGGGCGGCGGTCGTTCCTTTTGTTGATGGCTGGAGCCTCACGTGTGTCTTGCGAGCCTGTATCGTTTGTGTTATTGACGGCCTCTGGTGCCTCATGTGTCTGGCGAACATCTATCGCTTGTGTGGCACCTGGTGCCTCACTTTTTTTGACAATGTCCTTCCCCTTGGCTTCGTGACCCTTTTTTCGTGGACAGCCGAAACCTCAGCCTCACTGGGAGCCTCCGTGCGATATGCTTTGGGTCTACTGGCGGGTTTTTCATCGATTTCGGCCCTAGGAGGGCAATTATATACCGGGCCCCGGGGACATCAAAAGTGGCCTCTGGGGCCACGGCACGCGTGAGGGGTGTGCCTACATGGGGCGGGGCCAGCATTCGACCGTTGCCACTGGGGCATTGGGTGGAAACGTGCGAGGGGTGTACCGAAACTGTGCGGGGCCGCCAAGAGACCGTTGCCACTGGCGACTTCGGTGGAGCTCGCTGTGGGGCCACGAGACGTGCGAGGGGTGTGCCGAAACTGGGCGGGGCCGCCAAGAGACTCTTGATTGCCAATGGGGCCTTCGGTAGAGCTCCCTGTGGGGCCACGAAACGTGCGATGTGTGTGTGTGTGTGCCAAAACTGTGCGCGGCCGTCAAGTGACTATTGCCAATGGGGCCTTTGGTAGAGCTCCCTCTGGGGCCACGAAACGTGTGAGGGATGTGCCGAAATGGACATGCGGAGGGCAGAGGCAAGGAAGTCGAGGGGGGCTGCGGGAGGAGGAGGCGTGAAGCGCTGCTGAGTCACAACAAGAACACAAGAAGAAGAGGGTTGGGAACAAAAGCGTCCAACAGCCTCGATCCGCGAGCCTCGAGCATCCTCTGCCACCTCCTCCTCCTCTTCCTTCTCCTAGGATTGCGCTGAAATGTCTGCCTCTATGCCGAGCCTAGAGAGCACCCATTCCGGGCATGCGCAGCACGGAGGCGGAGCCGGGCTGCTCCTCGAGCTTGGCCATGTGCTTGGCACGGGTTGCGCCCAGGTAGGCTCTGGGCACTGGCCTTCTCGGTCGAGCCCAAGCCACCGCCCCCCATGTCCAACTGCGCCACGAAGAGGAGGGCTGGGCCAGGCTGCAGGGGCAGCCTTGACGCTGTCAGCTGCTGTGCTGTGTCCTTGCTGCGCGGAGAGGCTTCGCCCGAAGGGTGCCATTCTCATCGCCAGCATCAGCGCCAGTCTCACGGGCACGCCCAAGCTTGCCTTGCGCTGCCATCGTCCCTGTTTGCC